GACAGAGAGACAGAAAACGAGAAATCACCCCCCGAGGGGATGGCCACACCGTAATCCCTTCTCCTCCATTCTCCTCTAGGGATCTTGGGCACGCCGCACATGTGCCCAGCATGAGTTTTAAGCCACCAGGTCCGGGACGTGAACCGCGGTCGACTACATGGGAGTCCAGCGACACAGCTAGTATGCTAACTGCTGGTCCCGAACCAGTTTCTGACACTCCATCTACCCCAGCCTCAGCCAGCCCCAGCTCACGGGCACAGAAGTGCTCAGTGTGCTCAGAGAGGTCTCTAGACATGAACCTGTAACCATCCCATGTGGTTAAGCCTGGCAGAAAAATCTGTGGGTTTTGTTTGTTTTAGGTTTTTGCTATAGGGTGAATGAGCTTGCCAGAGATAAATAGAAGCATAGAGAGGGAAAGTGAGAATCACTCCCCAGGGGGGATGGCCACACCACAATCCCTTCTGCTCCATTCTCCACTCAGGATTTTGGGAATGCATGTACACATGCCCAACGAGATGTCAAGCTTCTAGATTTTATACTAGTTATCCCACACCTCCATGTTTCCCTCTCCTTCCATAGAGTCTCCAGAGTTAAAGTTTGGGTGATAGACCTGGGAAAAGTTTGGGAAATTGGAGAGAACCATGCATCCAGAAATCCCCATAATCTGATGCTACTTTAGAAAGATTCCCTTGGCTTCAGTGTAGAAACAGAATTACATGTGGGCAATATTGGAGACAGAGAGACTGGATAAGGAGTTATTACAACAGATGATCTGTGGGCATTCCAGACAAAGGCGGTGGCAATAGGAATGGAGAAACAGATGCAATAGGCAGGACTGAGAAGTTCTTTATTTGTGGGGTAGAAGGCAAGAAAGAGGTTTAAAATGATCCCACTGTTTCCAGCTTGAGCAACTGGGTAGGTGGTAGTGACTTTCACTGCTGTGCAGGACATGGAAGCAAGAAGAGATGGAGTGGTCAGGGAAGGGAGATAGGGTTGCTTTGGCCTTTTGGAGAGTGACATGCCCAGAAGATACCCAAACTGAGAAGTTTCACAGGCAGCTGGAGCCCTCAACCTGGTACCCAGGAGAGGAATTCGGCCTGGATAATCTGAAGTCATCAGTATATGAAAGGCAGCTGAGGGACCAGTAGATGACATAATGGTTACATCATTGGACTTCCACATAGTCCACCACAGTTTAAGTCCCAGACCCAATGGCTTAAAACTCATAGCAAGCACAAGTACATGTGTGCCCAAAATTCCGAGAGGAGAATGAAGAAGAAGGGATTGCAGCATGGCCACCCCCACCCAGGGGAAGTGAGGAGTGATTTCTCACTTTCTGTCTCTCTGTCTCTCTCTGTTTCTCTGGTGAGTA